TAACTAAAAAATAAATATTAAAATTCTCTCTCTCTCTCTCTCTCTCTCTCTCTCTCCCCCTCTCCCTCTCTCACTCTCTCTTTAAAAAAAAAAAAAAAAGAACATGAAATTCCAAGGAACATTTAATGGTAAAGCTGGCATCAGTAGATAGAAAATACCTACTCAATGGCTTTTTGAAAAATTAATCCTGGGATATGTGTTCTTCCATGAGTTTTCTGAAACATCAATAGGAAAAAAGTTACTGGTCTCTCAACTGCATTCCTAGGTTAGAACTCACTTCTAAGCATGTTTGAGCCCAGTCTGTCACTAGTTTTAAATTATCAGCATGGGCCTAGTTGACAAATCCTAAGTGGACTTCAAATCTCCCTATACAGCCAAAAATGTGTGCACACACACACATACACACATATTCATTCTTTCTCTCTCTCTCTCTCTCTCAAAATACTAAAGCTTCACATATGCTTTCAACGTAAATATGCTATCTATAAATCAAAATAATTTTCTTAACCCATAACAAGATTATTTCTGACATAAAGAGATTTTAACCCAGTAACACATTTCTCATTATCAGTCAAATCTGCCAGTAGCAGTAATAGCTGCCCAGTAGCAGGAACATGTTAATGGATCTCCTTTGCAGATGGTCCAGTGCTTGGCACATAGGAGGTACCCTGTAAGCCCACACAGAATCTATTAACTGACCAAAAAAAAGCTTGAAAGACAACTTTAAAATTTCAAGCCTAAGAAAACAGAAGGTAGAGCTTTTGCCATTTTTTAGAATAACTGGAAGATGGTGTTTTATGTCAACATAATACCCAAAGGCAACTAAAACAAAGCCACAAATGTTACTCTAAGAATCGTCCATGCACACAACACAAAGCTTGAAAGCTGAGCCCAAAGACTAGGACAAACAATAAATTAAGAGAATCTAAGGGTTCTGGGGCAGGTTAAAAATAAATAAATAGATAGACAGATAAATGGCAGTGTGAAGAATTTAGAGTCACTGAAGTCAAGAAATAGTTTTAAATGAGTGGTCACCACTAGACTTCTAAACTCTTTTGAGGGCAGAAATGATATTCAATTCTGAACATTCCTGATGCCCAGATATCAGTACCACACATACAGTATGCACCCGATAAACACTAACACCCTACATATACCTTGTGGCTGCCATGTGCCAGCTAAACCTTAAGTGCTTTACACATGTGAATTCGTAATTCTCACAGGAGAAGGTGCTGTTATTACACTCATTTTACACACAGGGAAACTAAGGCATTTAAGTAATTTGTCCAGTTCTCACACCCAGAATTTGTCCTAAAAAGGGATCACTGATCTGGTTAGATCATTACCAAGCTGACAGCAAGTTCAACTCACTGCTATTAGAAAAACTACAGGATGTTAAAAGTACCCCAAAGTACTTATCATTTCCTCCCCATCCACACTTTTCTTAAAGAACTTGCTGTAGTAGTCTGAAAAATATAGCCCTACAATCTGTGAAACACAACTAAGTTTCCTCCCCACTAATTTCCCATTCCCATCTTCCCCCACCGCAACCAACATGACAAGAAGTAGAAATCTAACCAATCAGGTTCTTTCAATATAAATTTAGAATTGAGTTTTGGAGATATTTGTTAAGAACCATGATTCAAAGTCAAAAATGAGTCTCATGTAGATGCTCTAGCACACCAAAGTAATGGGGAAGCAGAAAACAAGAGCCTTGAAGGGAAGGCCAATATGAAAAACACTGGAACGGGCATGCAGTGAGTACCTGAGTATCTGAGACAGTATGTTCCCAGGGAAAAACTGGAAGAGCAACTAACTGCCTGAAGACTTTATGGTTCCCAGGACCCCAACCTGGAATCACAAAATGGACTTCAGAGGCAGTGCTCCAACTGTATGACAAATGCCTTTTTTAAGTAAGCTAATTCAAATGGCTTTTTGTTTCTTGCAGCCAAATAATTATTAAGCCAACAAGGGAGGTCAAAGAAAAAACACTGAGTAAGCAGTGACTATGTGCCTCAAAGTAACTTTCTGAGGTAGATATTTTAACTCTCAAGGATGAGGGAAATGAAACTCAGATATTTAATTAGCAGGTCTAAGACACTGCAAAACCCAAACCCTTAACACTATAACTCATTTTCACTAAAGTAACATCTTTCTGTTCCAGGCAATCACACAACGACTTTCCCCCATAAAACACTACCAAACTAATAAATAAAAAAAAAAAAAAGAAAAAGAAAAAAAGTGTTAATTTTTCTCTTTTTATCATGTCCAAGTTCTTATCTACACATTTCAAATGCCTTTATAACAGGAAATACTTTTAATGAACTTTTATGTATAAGAATAAATGGAAAGGGATGGGTTGTAGCTCAGTGGTAGAGCGCTTGCCACATGCATGAGGCACTGGGTTTGATCCTCAGCACCACATAAAAATAAATAAAAATATTGTGTCAATTTACAGCTAACAAAATATTTTTTATAAAAGAATAAGTGGAAGGGCTGGGGCTGTAGCTCAGTGGCAGAGCGTTTGCCTTGCACATGTGAGGCACTGGGTTCAATCCTCAGCCCCACATAAAAATAAACAAAATAATGGCATGCTGTCCATCTATAACTACAAAAACAATTAAAAAAAAAAGAATAAGTGGAAAAAATGAAGATATTTGGATCTAATAAAGCATTTTCCTTTCCTTTCACCATATTACCAGTTTATACACCCTTTACTCACAATCAGGGTAAGTTCTTTTCCTGACCTGTCCCCACCTCTCATTCCCTCCAAGTGGTTGCTTTGACAAAAAGAAAAAAATACCAGTTTGCCTAACTAGTAATTGCTTTATCCAAAGTTACTTCAACTACTTTACAAAGGCAAGACAAAGCAACAAATGCCCCCAAACTTTGAAACCCTTGCCAAAAGAATATAAGTATAGCAACAAATCGTTTTTCTATCTCTGAAAATCAGTTGGTCAAGATGGAATGGGAAGGAACTTTCCCCATCTAGATTGGTCTCCTTTACCCTTGACAAAAAGACATTTTCTAAGTTATTTCACATTTTCTTCATATATGGACAGAAGTTCCATACCTATTTATAGGTGGAAATTTCCCTTTAAATGACTTTTAACATTTTTTTTTCTGAATTGGTCTCAGCTCCTTTTCCAGACAGTAAGTTCCTAGAATTTTAAAAAAAAAAAAAAATTTAAAAATGTGTTGTTGTTTATTTTTCCATCCTCAAAGGCAACGGAGAATTTCTTCACCTTCTAGACTTACCCTTGGAGTTCAGAGCTAGAGAAGGCTAGAAAATTTCTCACTGTTGGTTCTGGATCCTAGGCAACTCCTACATCTTCACCAACAGAGAAATAATAACTAGTCCAGGAGTATACTGCAAAGTATCAGTCTTTGCAATAGCGCAGTTTTGTGGGTACTAATCACTGGCTCAGCTTGGGAACCAATTTCTTGCCTGATTCCCTTACAATCTTTGATCTCTCATAAATTACTCATCACCACAACTAACAGTGAAATTCACTGTCAATTCTTGGGTCAGTTATGCCTCAAGGAACATTAAAAAGTATAAATAACCAGAATAATACTTGAATGCATTTTAAAAGATTGGCAAAATAAAATAGTGGAATTTAACCAATCATATGGGCACTGGGCTACCATTTACTCTAACGTCATAAACAAGACATTAAAACAAAATCACTTTTCATAACTACGTATTCCCATCTTTTCTGAATATTCTCTGAGTATTTTCACATATAACAAAATCATTTATTAACCAACATAACAAATTCCTAACAAGGAGGAAAATTTAAGCTTTTTAAAAGCAAATGAATAATTACAAAGCCAAAAAGAGGTTTGGAATTATTAACTTCAGTATACACGAAGGCCATTAACTACGTGCTTCAGCAGAATTTCTCACTACAGTAGAGAAAAAGAACCATTACCAAGTCCTACCACCGTGATGGTTGATTTTGTCATTGACATTTTGCCAAAAGTTTGGGGTTTTTTTTAATGCTTTTATTACATCTACACCTTTTTTAAACACAGCAGCTTAGATGTATGGAATAAAATAAGTCATCCCTATCATTTGGAATATTGAATGGCCATCACTTAAGCCACTAATGGCCTAGGAGAAAACCTGACAGCTAACGCAAATATAAATTCTCAGAGGAGCCGCTTGACGCTTCGGTTTCTGATATAAAATTCGAGTCCAGAGCTCAGGGATTCTGGCAGTGAAGAATGCTATTTGGGGACAATGTGCAACGTCGTACTCTTCCTATACAGGCTCTCAGGCGCACACCACCAACACAAACTAAGTACGCTCACCACGTACCTGGGGCCCAGCTCTGAAGACCACCCCGAGGTTGGAAGCTGAGCCTGACACACGGTGGGGCGGCAGCTCCTGCTTCACACTCAGGAACCACCTTCCCTCTGGGCCCAGGGCCTTTGGCTTCCTCCCTTCCCCACTATTCCCTCCCGCCTCCCACAGCCAAGCGAAAGCGCTGCCTTCAGGCGGCCCCTAAGCAAAGGGAAGATCACCGGCAGGCGGAGAAGCTGAGGCCAAATCAGGCCTCTCCATCCATCCCGGCCCCCTGTTCCACCGCCACCCCGAGCTCTGCTCACGCCGCTGGCGAGTCGGTGCCTGGCTCACCTTGGAGGCAGCAGCGTCTGCAGCTCACAAGCATGTCACCAGTCGGCAACGACCAGTGGCGCGAGCCTGGCGAGCAGCAGGCGCCCCCACCCGCACCAGCCCCCGGCCCTCCCCCCTCCCAGGCCCGCGGCCCGCCCCCACCTGCCCACCCCCACGGCTTCCGCCGCCGCAGCTCCTGCCCGCACCACAGCCTACTCCCCACGCCTCCCACTCAGTCTCACGAGAGCGAGCACTCTCGCGAGAACTACCCCGTGGCCAAGCCCGCGCAAAAGTGGGTGGGTTTTTAAAAAAGGAAAAAAGGAACGCGAGAAAAACCTTCCCACGTGCTTCTCCGGAGCAGCAAGCATAACTGGTCCGCCGGTCACCTGACGCCCGAGCGGCCTCGCCATTTGTCAGAACGCGTTCAGCCGTGGGAGCTTTAAACTCGAGTCTGACCTACGAACCTGCGGCGAACGTCTTGCGCGTTTCCTGGTCTGTTGCCTTGGAAATGGTTTAACCCTTTCCTCTGGCAAAATACCCGGGCCTTGGCTAGCTCGGCCAGCTGGGTTTCAGGCCCAGTCTCGTTTCCTTCTACCCGCTTGGCTTATCGCCTGGGGCCAGCAAGACTCCATCGCCACAAGGCTAGCTTTGTTTTCTTCCGCAGCCCCTGACCCTGCCCAGCTGAAGCAGCAGCCCCACTAGATATGGCAGCCCACGTCAGACCCATCCTTTCGCACGGCCCCGCCCCTTCTCGGAGCTTCTGCGGGAGGACCATTCACAGAGCACCAGGCGGTCTGTGCTACGGCACCTCAAGAATCAACCCAAGACAATCTCTGGGCCCTAGTGCACACCCTGACACCTTTAAGTGGTTTCGAAATCAGAAAATAAAGCACTGGTCACCAAAAATCCAGGCCCAAGGTGAAACGCTAATATGTTACGTCCAGTTAAAATCAGAAGGGTTAGTCCCACAGTCAGGTTGCAATGTTCCTCAAAGGCATGTGTTCCTCAAATAGAAAATTTCTGATAGATAAGAACAGTATTTTAAATGTATCCTCATTAGGAATTAAGTTGCACCCTTTTGCTGGAAAAGAATTGGGGAAGATTATTCACATGTTCACTTCTTAAGTGAATTTTGGTTGAGCTTCTACATGTTTTAGGCACTACTGTGGGCTGTTGAGCAATGGTGGAGACAAATGGGAGGGAGTGCATGATCGTGTTATGCTATATACAAATAAATAACAATAAGAAGCTTGGTTTTAAATACTTTTCCTTGCAGAGTATGGATTTTAAGGAGGCCAAAGTAGAAGCAAGAAATTATAATCACTTGTAGTCCAGGTGAGAGAATTGTGAAATGAATTAATACCAATGACATTCTTCCGAAATCCGTAAGGTCAGAGCTCTAGCGCTGTCTATTGTCTTTCATTAAAAGTAATTGGGTTTCTCCTATTTAATAGGAGAAATTAACGGGGATTTTTTTTTGGTTTCTTGAGAAAATGAATGGCCCCCAAATGAAAAGCTCACCTTTGATTTTATTCCCATCATCTACACTACAGATAACCACCTCTCCTGTCTAAAAGTCAGTTCTAAGAAAAAGGAAACATAAAATGATGTTCCTTGTAGATAGTTATTTCTTAAGTGTAAAATTTGAAAAAAATAGAAATTGAAAGCTGGAAAATGGAAAGTTCCATTAAAACAAATCGGAGACTTAACTACCAACTTGAAACGCTCTTGTTAACTAACAACCAAATCAACTTTCCTTATCATCACTTCCTCAAACATTAAAAAAAAAAAAAAAAGCAATTTAACTAGCCTACATGCAAAGTGGTTAAGCCTGAATTACACTTTGGCATGCACACACCAGTAGGATGGAAGCTGGAAAGGGAAATGAACTTTTATGAAAACCTAACAGTCAGTAGCACAAGCCAGATGAAACTGGACACACATACCAGCTGAGGAACTATGAAACTGATTCATACAGATACCAGGAATGCTTTCCCAAGAACCACTGGCTTTCTCAGAGTGTGAAAACGGAAGCATTGCCACCTGCTTAACCTTATATTCCCTTTCTCTGAAGCTATTTTGAACCTATGTAGTATTTAATAAATAATGATTCACATGTTCCTAATCTAAGTTTAAGAACTAGATGGAAAATAAGTTTTTTAGGTTTGAGTTTATATAGTAAGCTAACACCTTAATTTTAATGAAAGCAATATTTCAAGAAATGCTATAGGGTTACTTTTTTAAAGGAAAAAGTGACAAAGTAGGACTATTTGTTAAAATGTTAATTGCATACTTTTTCTAAGGTTTACAACTCAGAATGATTAACTGAAGGCAGCTGCTTAGCACTGCAGATTTAGATGAAAGGAGGTCTCCTGTACCATTCTAATGTATATTAATAGAACCGTCAAAGCCTCTCAACTCACCCTAGTGATGAAGTCATTGTGGTCTCAAGTTAGCTCTAATTATTTGAAGTACATGAATAATATAAAATGAGAAGAAATTTAATATTAAGATCCAGGTGTGGGGCTGCAGTTGTAGCCCAGTGGTAGAGCATTTACCTAGAACGTGTGAAGGCACTGGGTTTGATCCTCAGCCCTGCATTAAAAAAATAAATAAAACAAAGGTATTTTTAAAAAAAAGATTCGGTTGTACCATGTCCCTAGTTTTTGGATTCTTTTTAAAAAAAAAAAAACTATTCTTTTTTAACAGTTTCATTGAAATGTAAGTCATATCCCCTGCTATTTAATTTTTTTTGGTGTACTCACAGAGCTGCACAACCATCACCCAACTAATTTTTACAACAGCTTTGTACCCCTAAAAAAATCCATACTCTTTTAGCAGTCAATCATCTACCCCATTCCCAATTCTAAGCAATCACTAGTCTCCTTTGTCCTTGTAAATGTGCCTATTCTGGAAATTTCATGTAAATGGAGTCAAACAATATGTATCTTTTGTGTCTCACTTCATTCACTTAGCATAGTGTTTTCAAAGGTCATCCATGTTGTAACATTTATCAGCATTTCTTTTTATTGCCAAATAATGATCCCATTCTACATATATAGCATATATTATTGATCAGTTTTTCTGCTGATAGACATTTTGGTTGTTTTCACTTTTAGGTTATTATGAAAAGTGCTGCTTTGAACATTCATGTTCACATTTTGTATGGATGTTATTTATTCCTATTAATACTTTTAAAAGTATGAGATGCTGGAGTGCAGTGGTGCTTGCCTGTAATTCCAGCAGCTTGAGAGGCTGAGGCAGGAGGATTGCAAGTCCAAAGCCAGTCTCAGCAACCTAGTGAGGCCCTAAGCAACTCAGAAGGACCCTGAGGTCTAGAAATATGGCTCAGTGGTTAAGTGCTTCAGGTTCAACCCTTGGTACCAAAAAAAAAAAAAAAAAAGTATGAGACATAAAGTTTATCGAGTTTACAAAGTCTACATTTCTTTCTTGAGCATAGTCACTTTGCTTCTAGGCTTTGTCTTTTTGCCTACTGTTTAAATAATGTACACTCTGGGCTAGGATTGTAGCTCAGTGGTAGAATACAGCACCACATAAACATAAATAAAGGTCCATCAACTAAAAAATAAAAGATATTTTTAAAAAAGCATGTACACTCTATCCACAGAGATAATTCTATGTAGGCAATTTGTATCCAACCATGTCACTTGCTTAAAACCTTTCAGTGGCTTATTATGGTTCTCCCATGGACTGCCTAACTTTCTCTTCTGCTCTCATATCATTCTCCCCACTTTTATTTCTTCAAAATAGGACAAGACTCTGCCTCAGAGCCTTCCATAAACTATTTCCTTAGTTCTGTATATTTTGCTCTACCCAGCCCCCTTAACATCTGAATGTCCACAATCCTCCAGCTTTGAGTTCTTCTGTCATTTCTTCAGTAACCTTGTCCTACCTTCCAGGGATCAGTATTCGCCTCTTTATTTTCTCAACTTATAATGATTTTTATTTGTGCCATCATTTTTAATACCTGTCTTTATTACCTGTCTCTTCTATTAGACATCCCACGAGCAGGGACCACATCTGTTTTTGGTTACCCCTGCTTGGCAAACTATAGGTACTCAATAATTATTCATAGGAAGGAGGGAAAGAGAGAGGGGAGGGAAGAAGCTGGAGGAGAGGGGGTTCTTCCCCAACTACTCTTTGTTCTATTTCCCTTATCGTCCTAGGATTCTTTAGCAAAGTCTTGATAAATGTTACAAACCAAATCTATGCTATGCTAAGGAAAAATAATGGCATATCCTGTCCTTTGCTTGGGATATTTATTATAGCGGAGGAAGACACAAGTGACTCCTGCTCCCTACTAGAAAGAGGTGGGAAGAGGGGAGACTAATGGTATACAAAGGAACCAAGTCAACAATGGGCTAAGTCAGAGAACATAAGCTGTATCTAAAGACACCTAAAAGAGTACCTGGAAAACTCACATATGTCTCCTGGGAACATTTTAGTAGGCTAGCAGTCAAATCAGTGGTGTCTTCTCCACTGTAATTTTTGTAATTACAAAATGGAAATATTACCTTCATTTGTAGACATATTCTAATAAAGCCAAGACATTTGGGTTACAGGCACAGGAAAGAATTACAACCCATCAAGGTTGAATAATTTGTTCTAGATCACATCAGCCACTAAATGCAATAGTTCAGACTAAAATTAGCTGGTTCAGTCTGGTCCAACATTTTAGTGAAATCAAGCATACTACACAAAGCCAGGCTCTTAATCCCTCTGATGACCTTCTGACTACAAAGGCAGGAATCATCTTTCCCCAGGCGCTTTGGAGCTTTACACTAGCAACCTCTGACAGCCAAATCAGATTCCATGTTGCTTCCTGTCTGAAAACTTGAGTCTCACTTTGGCCCACATGGCAAATTCCTCCCTGAGTGATGTTTCCTGCATGAATGATAGCCCCAGCTGGCTATTTACTTTTACAAGACAAGACACCGTGTTCATCGTGTCCACATTCCTTAGTTTGGGATTTTGGTATTTTATGATTATAAATGAATACACATTCATTACGTACAACATTGGAAAGTACAGGGAAAGATAATGCAGCACACCGGAGTTTTTTTTTTTTTTATTGTTGTTATTTTATGTTTGATGCTTACTTCACATGCATTTTTATATTTAATAATAAACCAAAGTAAAAATTCTAAAAGTAGAAAACTGGAAATTATATCAGCCTTCTAAATATGTAAAAATATTTTTTTTAATTTAAGAGCTGAAGTCTGTCCTTCATATATTGTGTTTTGTTTTTTCGTCCTGGTGATCCAACCCAGGACCTTGCACATAGTAGGCAAACATTCTACCACTGAGCTTTATCGTAAGTCTTCATGCCTTTGCTTTAAAAGCATATGTATTACCTCATAGTCTATTACATAAAGTTTATAACCTCATACTTAATTAATTCTTTTTTAGTGAGTCTCTTGAACAATGGAAACACATCTCAGCCAGTGTTATAACAGGATACCTAGTAATGTTTTAATTTATATAAGGAGCTCATTAAATGTTCAATGAATTCTAAGATTATAACTATACTAATTAGGAAATAATGCAGGTAATAATTCAAAGGTGACATTCTAAACTACAGAATTCTTGAATAACAAAATAAATCTGAGTGCTGTTATCATATGCAAATACAATGATTCTTCCCATATAGATCATCATAGTCATAGCTAATTACTTCCAATATGCAAAATATATATGTACCCTCTTTTAAGAAAATGTCAAGTTGTCCAAAATTCAAAATCATGCCTAAATATAATTATTTAATAAGAGAGTTACTTTAAATATCATCACCACCCTGCTAACTTTAAATAGTTGGCATATATTGTAGTTAATTATAAAATAGAAGCACAAGGTCTTATAAAAGTTATACAAACATTACTAACTCAATGAA